ATCAATGTCCCAGTAGAAGTGATTTTCCATAAGAAATAAAAACATCGAGAAAGGAGAACTTGAACTCATGACCAATAAGCATGGGTCTGTTGCTTTACTCCTGTTGCAATGCCATCCATTCTCTTGTTCTCATTTCTTTCTTAGTTCTAGAGATTTTCTTCTAATCTATTGCACTGTCAAATCCCATGTCCTACCAAATAAGCAATTGCCCATTCTCTTCTGAGTCTTTCCAGTCAACATCTAACCCTAACTTCGTTTCTCCCACTCAGTGGGTCCTGCCCTTACCCATAGAATCATGACTGGTTCGGTGTTTGATCAATCCTCAAAGCTTTACACTTTGACCATTGCCACATTTGGTATCCGTGTGGCCGGACGTCTGTCCACTTCATTAAACATACATTCTGATTACCTACAGAAAATCCCAGCTACCACCACCCATTTTGAATATGCTTTCTAGTCTCTCGATATTTTGCAGATTTTGTCAGCTTGCTGAAGGGAGGGTGGTACCACTGTGTCCTATTCGAAGTCCTCTTCCATGTGTCCTCAATGTGCCTTCCTTCTTCCTCATACCTCCTCCCCAGCTGTCCTCTGTTCAAACTTACCATTTATTCCGAATACCCGGAGTTTCCCCGCCCCTTGCTGGAGAAGACACTACCATAAGCTTGTCTAGATGGTCAAGCACCAAAAGTGTGCAAGGACCTCACGAGACCAGGGACCTCGACCTCAGTCGTGGGCCGAACTGGAGAATAAGGATATCCCACAATTGCCATTTCAGCTGATCTAAGTGTATGTCAGTCAGTTACTAATATAAAACGTAGCTGTTTTCCAAGAAACAAATTGTGTTTTAGGGCTACTTAATCTTCAGAGTCCACTTAATTGGCTTTTTAAAAATCAGGTTTTGTGCTCGCTTCGGCAGCACATATACTAAAATTAAAAATCAGGTTTTTAGTTGGAAATGAACAAAAGCTATTTTGAAGACCAGACAACATTAAACCCATATATTATGATTTCACTGCAAGTTGGCTTCACAACCCGCACACTGGAAAATAAGCATCACTATAGCCAAATTGAAATGCCGTAGAGTCATCAGAGAGCTTGACCAACTCCCCCCACCCCTGGCCCCCCGGAAAAGGTGTTTATTTAACACCTTTTTTTTTTAACAAGCCAGGGAACCCAGTTAACTAGGGTGACATTTGATCAGCAGCAACACAGATGAAGTGAAAAATGAAAAAACGGTAGCCGTGGTAATGACTAATGATAGAATAATGAGGAAATATCCACTGCTTAAATATCCCTGTGTCACGGGAGGAAAAGGGGTAAGGGGCTCAGAACCTTTTGTGATGTAAGTTCCAGCTGGTGAGAGGGCCTGGTGGTCTTGAGTCTCTGCTGAACATGGATTTGTATTTGGATTTGTAGTCTGGTGCTTTGAGTTAATCAACTTGTTACTTTACTATAGTGACTTATAAAAAGTAGGGAGCTCTTAAAATACGGCAAACATAGCAATGAGCATGATTCTGTTCCCTTTCCCACTACACCTGACTGTTCAGTCGTATTGTTAGCGGTGTCAGTGTTCTCTTAAAGCTCCCCAGATGATTCGAGTGTGCAGCCAGGGTTGAAAGCTACGGCTGTAGGTGTGGTGGCGTTTAGATTTTGAGGCTGGACAAGGAAATCTGGTTCCATTTCAGGATGGTGGATTCAGGAGCCTACGGAGTCCTACAGATTCTTCTCTTCCCATGAACCAGAAATCGGGATAGATCCTGAAATGTGGCACGTAGAGCTGGCTGATGCAAGGACAGAAAACCCAACCTAAAATGCACACAGAGGACTATCGTCAGAAGGGTGCGGGGAGCACCAAGTCTGCTCCATCCCCAAAGGTGGCAGGCACCAGAAGCAGAAGGGTTTCAAGGACAGTCAACATGTAGGCCCTTGGGCCATTGCTGCAGGAGGGGCCAACGATTCATCCTTCACTGGTGCCCTTCTGTCTGCTCTTGACCTGAATAGCAGTGACAGAATATCAGCCTTCAGGTAAGAGCCATGGCCAGGGAGCCCAAATTAGGTGGGCATGGCCATGTTTCTTGAGGCTGTCCATTGCCAGGGGAACGGGGTAGGTCTGAACACCCCAGAGAAATCTCACTCAGTGGCTTATCCTTCTTCACTGTCCCTGAGAGTCATCCAATTCAGACCAGCAATCTCCCCAAGCAGATGACGCCCACTGGCAGGGAATACAGACTAATGGAGAGTCTCAGCCCATCTAGAAGATTCCAGGGTCAGGATCACCACACACTGGAGGAAGACTCAAACAGTGCAAAAGACAACTGAACAAAATAGGCAAATTAACACCCAAGCAAGATAAAGCACACAGCAAGCAGAAGAGGAATTAAGAATAAGCCAGACAAAGACAACTCCCTTATGATTTCACATAGACAGGTACCATATGACTTCACTTATATGTGACATCTCAAAAACACAATAAATGAGCAAACAAACAAAAACAGGGACAGACTCATAAATACAGGGAAATAACTGATGATTGCCAGAGGGGAGGGGAGGAGAAAGGAGGGGAGGGGAGGAGAAAGGAGGGGAGGGATGGGCAAAATGGGGAAAGGGGATGCAGAGATACAAATTTCCGGTTATAAAATGAGTAAGGTACAGAAATGAAAAGTACAGCATAGTGAATATAGACAATAGGACATAGTGACTTACGCTTATTGTGGCGAGCACTGTGTTTTGTCCAGAATGGTCAGATCACTGTGTGGTGTATTTGAAACTGTTATATGTCAACTAGGCTTCAGTTAGAAAAATAAGCATAAGTAAATTTCTCTGCTGTGTGAGGATAAAGCAGTCACAAACAAACCAACTAGTGTTCGTAGAGATTAACGATTTGATCCTTAAAGTAACCCGAATAAGCAGATGAAGCTATTTTTTTTCTGAAGTGTAATTTTATTGTAATGAAGACTAACTTGTGTCTTATAACCTAGGGACTCATGATCGCTCATAAGTTGAGTAGTTCAGTTTTCTAGAAAGCACATAGTATCCAAGCAGGTCGTTACAGAGAGTATTTTGAAGGATGAAATGTTTTCTGTAACCCTCTTAAGAAGACTCAGTCCATTTTGGGAAAATTGACGATGAATGAAAAATACAATTGAAAGAAGAAAAGTAAGTTTTTTCTCCCATATATCTAAGAGATCTTTGCTGGTTTTTCTATTTTAAGTGCCCTGAATGAAATGGGCCTCATTTTCAAAGGGAGTTAAGTACCAGCATGCACAAGAACTTGTTTCCTTTGATGTAGCACCAACTGAAATAAGGATAAATATGTCATTGAAGATAATCGTGTGTTTCTCCTCTACCTCCCCAACTCCTTTAGGCCACAGTAGGTATGCATGTGTCCTCCCAACCCCCCAACTCCATGAAGGAACCTAAAATAAGGATTTAAAGATGGCTGGTCAGATTACACACACTGCCAGGACTTCTCCCCTTAAGAGAGGATGTCAGGGAATGCTCTCAGGTATCACCCACCTTCTTCGATCAGAAATAAAGAACTCCGCCTTCAGTAAACTCACTTTCCTGGTCCTCTCATAGAAAGCTTTTTTGTTGCTACACCTGTTTATTAATTATGACTGCTATATTTATCAAGGAAATTTCCCACCAGGTATGCCGGATCTATTTCTATCTCCTAATGACAAAGCATGTGTGTTTTATGTAGTGTCACCAGTTTTTCTTCTTGTTAAAAAAAAAAAAAAAAAGACTTGTTACCCTTCAAGGCATAATGATCAAAAAGAACTATCAAGTAGATCCTAAAGCACACACTTCTTAACCCCTGAACCTTTCCTAACCTCTGAAAATGTTAGGATGGCAATTACATTTTCCATTAAAGAACATCCATTCAACTTCGGTGCTAATCCAAGAGCTTGTATCATCATGTCAATTTCTTTTTTTTTTTATATATTTTATTTTATTTTTTATAAACATATAATATATTTTTATCCCCAGGGGTACAGGTCTGTGAATCTCCAGGTTTACACACTTCACAGCACTCACCATAGCACATACCCTCCCCAATGTCCATAACCCCACCCCCCTTCACCCAACCCCCCTCCCCCCATCAACCCTCAGTTTGTTTTGTGAGATTAAGAGTCACTTATGGTTTGTCTCCCTCCCAATCCCACCTTGTTTCATTTACTCTTCTCCTACCCCCTTAACCCCCCATGTTGCATCTCCTCTCCCTCATATCAGGGAGATCATATCATCATGTCAATTTCTAACATCAGTTATATCCCTCAGAAGAAAACAAGTCCCATCAAAGGAATATTTTCCTAAATGTTACTTGATACATTTTTATAGCAACTTGAATATCCTGAGTAAACTGAAAGTGTGTTTAGCAACAAAATAAAATGTAACTTAGCTAGCCACCTGATAGGTTTCTTAGTTTAAAGGCAGCAGTGAATTTGCCTCCTGCCTGGAATCTGAAAATCCAGTTATTTTTATCTGGAATTTTAGAGGTACAGCCTCTCACAAAACCGTGCCCCATGTGCCAGAAATGTCTTTTTTGGCATCTGGCTGCACAAAAGCCTCTGATGAGATATTGTCTCCAAATTAGTGTCATTTTTTTCCTCCCGCTACTTTTCCAGAAAAATAGGAAACCAATTGCTCTTCCCTCCTGAGGAAAAGTCAGATTACTACCCCTTGCTCTTTTAATTTTGCCTTAGCTGGATAAAACACACTAGGCAGCTTCCAAAAGACAAATCTCAGCATGAGACTCATCTGGCATTATTAAGTATCCAAAATAAAACTCACAGAAAGGAAACTACTATGAGTCTCAAGGAATTCACAAGCGGTGGAGCCTTAGAACAAGGAACTTCTGAAAGAAAGGAGGAAGCGAATCTGCTCATCTCGGCCCTTTACAAGCATCGGCCCTCACGGAGCCACTGAAGCTTGGGGTCCATCTCTGCAACCTTTGTCTGCAGGAAAGCATGCACGCAGGGCCAGACCTTGTCGGTTTCCTATCCGGAGATGGTTTCCAGCACCCCCTTTCCCCGGTAACAGTCCAGGACGCGTTTGGTTTGGTCTTCGTAAGCCTTCAGCCTCTTGGTGAGTGTCTCGGGTCTGTCATCCTCCTGCTGAACCAGGGGCTGGCCAGTCAGATCGTCCACGCCAACCGCTCGGGGCGGGTGAAATTCGAGGTTGTAGACGCGCCCACTGCTCGGATGGATCCAGCAAGCCGAGAGGCGTCGCCTGATGACCTCGACTGGCACGTCCATGTTCATCGCCAGGTGTATGTGATAAACCCTGTCCAGGGCCTCAGCTTGCCGCAGCGTCCTGGGGAACCCGCACAGCAGCCAGCTCCCCCGGGGGGAGCTTTTCAACTCCTGAAGGGTCAGCCGGATCATGATGTTGTCCGGGATGAGCCTCCCCTGGTCCATGAAGATCTTGTCCCTCTGTGTCCCTCAGCATGTTGTCCCGGAGCGGGTTCCCGCTGGAGAACTTCTGCAGCGGGAAGTGTTTGACCATACGCGAGGCCAGGGTGCGCTTGCCGGAGCCTGGGGCGCCCATGAGCACCGCATGTAGGAGCCGCCCCCGCGCCCCCATGGCTGCTGGGCCCGGCACGGGTGCTGCGGACAGTTGGGCCCCCGCGCTCCCTGCGGCGTGTGCAGTCAGGACCCAGCCTTCCCGCCCCCTACCACCTCCCTGCGAGCAGGTGCAAGAAGGTGTTGGACACCGCCAGACAGCTTTGTGACTTGCAAGATGGAATGGCCACCTCCCCGCAGTTCGCAGTGGGAAAGTTGGTAAGCAGCAGAGCAACCCAGACACCGGAGCTGTCGATTCAGAGTTCGACCCTTCACACGCAGAAAATGGGGAGCACGGAGAGAGACGGGCTCTAGAGAAACAATTCAAGAGCACACGAGTGTTTCTTTCACCAGCTGAAAGAATGATGGGAGTCACAGGCGCAGACAGTCCAATACGTGGAGAAGCAAGCCCTGGCCGAGGTGTGAGTAAGCAGGGCTCTCACACTCCAAGGGGGGAGGGGCGTCCTCACCCTCACGGCTGGTTTGGAAGGGCAGCCCTGGCCGTGGCTTTGGAGGTTTTATAAAATTACTTCTCAGTATTTTCCTTAAGACAAACTCTCCAAGTAAAACAAGAAGGCACACACAGGACGTTCGATTCGGCTATACTGCAACAGTGCAAAATTGCTAATTACCTAAGTGCTCACTAATGAGAGAAGAAAGAAATGAACCTTAGCCTGGCTGGCCCTTCATAGCAGCTACAAAGACAGATAAGGTATGTTATAATTTATATAAATATATCTGTGGAGTGAACTGGGGAGCCAGTTTGCAAGCAGCAGAAAGACGATTTGATTTTTCTGCATTTAACAAATTGCTCCATCTGCGACAATGAAGTGAAAAGGTGCTGGGAGGAGGCTACTTCAGCAGACCAGCAGACAGGTGAGAGAGGACCATTTTCACTTTTCTTGCCTCGACAGGAGTGAGAGTGAGCACCTTTTCGTTTGACTGTGGGCCATTTCTACTTTATTTCTGTGTAGGATTTTTTTTTTTTAAGATTGGATTTATTTATTTGAGAGAGCAAGTTGGAGTGTGAGAGAGAGACCATGAGCAGTGGGGAGGGGCAGAGGGAAAGAGAGAAGCAGACTCCCTGCTGAGCAGGGATCCCCCCCCCCGCCCCCCTGCCGGCCAATGTAGGGCTCGATCCCAGGACACTGAGATCATGACCTGAGCAGAAGGCAGACCCTCAACCGACAGAACCACCCAGTCACCCTCCATGTAGAATTTTTAAACTGATAATTATCTGCTGATCACTTCCTTGGAAGGCTGCTTCTTTTATTACACAAGCCATGGGACAGATCTGTCCTCAGCTTGGTCTTGGGTGGTCCAGTTGGCTCAGTACAGCGTGGGACCCTGGATCGTAGGGAACATTAGCTCAGGAGAGAGTGCTGACCCACCACCCCAGCATCCACTTCATTTCTCAAGAAGATCCACAGAAATGAGTTGATGGGCTGTTCTCCTCCAATAAGCAAGAGAGAAAGATTTAGGGGCGTAGAAACCCAATTTCTGTATTTGTGTTTTGTGGGAGCCAACAGAACTGCCGTTCTAAACGCACAGACTTTTTTTTTTAATTGTTTCTGTTACTTTGGGTCTTTAAGTTAGTCATATAATCTCCTACTGTTACCATATTCAAAAAAGTTACATTGAATACATAAGAAGATTCAAAAGGTGTATAGATATTTAATAGAAATTTGGCCCATATCCTCCAGCAAAGGAAAAGAGAAATGATGTTGTAATTGCTTTGCGTGATAAAGCAGCATACTCTTACTGTCTTTTAATTATATACACAAAAAGCGATCCCACCGAGGTCTTTCTATCTTCCCGGATAGATTTAGACTTGGAGTATATTCAACCATTAATTGAGACACCTAATTTGGTACCCGGATGCGATCCCAGAATATCCCAGAGAGTAGCTTCGGAGAGAAGGTGGCGTTTTGCTCAGCTGCAGGTGTGAGTGGGCGAGGATGTGTTTCCCAGCAGCTTAGAACAGGCACAGAGGATGCTGGGCTGCAGGTAGACATTGGGTTCCTTCTAAAGCACAGGGTCATTTCTGGTTCCCGAGACCACCTCGGTCCCTCCTCTTTTCCCAGGATGATGGCACTTAAAGCCACTTGGGACACTGGTTGTACAACTTCACAGCATCTGTTTAGGAGATTTTCTGACCAAATACGTAAAGCCCAATAGCCTAGTCCCATCACGGAATCCGTTTGGACACATTTAGCAGATAGTGTCTTGTGCCCGCTGAGTATGATTGTGGACAGTTACTGAGACTTCCTGGGTGTTTTCCATGGTCACAGATGCCAAATGGTGAGAAAACAGCTGGGGCTCCTCCCACAAGGCTTCTTTTTGCAGCGCTAGTCATGTTGGGGTACAAATTTCCAAGTTAATTGATTGCCCCCTTTCTGGAGAGAGTTAGCAGGTCAGGGCATCTGAGGAGACCACAAGGAAGGTAAGAGGCTTGATAATCCTTCACTCATCGATTCAGCAGACTTTCATGGGGGTTTATCTCTGTGACTGGTTGTTCAAAGCACAGGGGGTATAGCCCATGTGAAAGAATGAAGCCTGAGCGTCTGTCCCCGTGACTCTGACCTTCTAGTAGGTATCATGAGCTAGTGTTTCCCACTGGGGAGTGTGACATGGTTTTAGGTCTCCACAAAAGAACATTCTCCTCCCCACCTCTGGGTTTGACAACTGTGTTTTACTTCATTTTTTAAGAAACTATTTTATTATGAAAACGTCAAAGACACGGAAAATTAGATTGATGTTAGAATCAGAATGATTGATGCTTTCCCAATGCTATTCTATCTTATTTCTTCCTGGAGTATTTTCCAATCTTGTCCTATCTTCCCCGCCCCGGGATATTTTAAATAATAGCATTTTCCATTTTAATGGTGGATGTGTATGTTTTAATATGTATAAGGAAAAATATAACTAGCATTCAGACCTACTATCTGGTAGTGTTCTTGCTTAGGACAAAACTACACCAGAAATTTAAGTTTTAAAACTGCTGCACATGGGGGACATGGCACCTGGCTGGCTCAGTCAGTAGAGTGTGTGACTCCTGATCTCAGGGCTGTGAGTTCGAGCCTCACATTGTGGGTAGAGTTTGCTTTAAAAAACAATGGAAACTGGTACACAGATCGGCAAAGTCCAACAGGGATACATAAATGATGGAAGTTTATGAACTATTGGCAGAGGCAACAAGAAATGAAGAGGGGGTAGAAGACGTTCCCCTCATCTTCCCTCCTTCGGTGAGGTTACGATGGTCAGAGAGATTCCTTGTATGGAAAACCTTTAGCACCATGCCTGGCACTTAGTAAGCACCTTGAGAAGAGAGGCTAGTATTGTTTTGGGAAGGCATCTTTGATTCTAGAAACCAATGCTAGCTAGTATTTGTTAAACACTTACTGTGTACAGATACTGTTTTTGGAGATTAAAATATCTCACTTCCTCTTCATAGCCCCACTAGGAGTAGATGATAGGATCCCCAGTTTTGGGATTAAAAAATCGTCTTGGAGAAATTAAGTAACTCAAGGTTACAGAGCTCTTCAGTGGCTGGACTGGGGCTTGAACTGAAAGCCTGCATTCCTCCAAAAGCCAGGTTTCGTTTTCTGCCTGGCTCCCAAGACCACCAGAAGGCAGCTAGGGAAAGACCTAGCTGGGAGTCCCAGTGTCAACCTGACTCTTCCATTTGCTAGCGTGGTGACCTTGAACATCTCACTGCACTTTTTCTGAGCCTCTGTGTCTTATGCATCAAATGGGGACAGCAGTGCTAATGACCCAATTTGCAAGCACAGGATGAAATTATGGGTTATGGAAATCCGACGCTGGAGGCATAAGTCTGTGTGCTATATTCACACATCACGGACAGGGCATATGCGATTTCAAGCAATCCCCTTCCCTCTTTGGGTCTTGGTGTCCTCAGCTGTCAAGATCATGGGGTTGACCCCAAGAGCCCCACTAGGGAGAACGTTCCAGAATTGGATTCCGATTGGACCAGGGTAAATAGTCCTGACTCTTGACTCTTAATGAAAAGAACCGGATCAGCTTCCATCCAGTGTGCTCTTGGTTGGTAATCGTAATTACCATAGTCTGCAGTCCTTAGAAAGCCGAACCTGACAACAGCAGGTTGCTGCTGCTTTGTCAGGAGCAGTCCCCGGGAGCAGAAGCAAGAGAAAAAGAATGAGACTAAAAAGGAGGAAGGGCACCTGAGCAGACACAGCTGGGCTGGTTGCCACGAAGTACCCGCCGACGACTTTATTTCACAGCACCACCTCTGAAAAGCGGCATCTCTGGACAGTCTGGAGTAAAAAGAAAAGAGAATGACTTTATCTACCCGTCTCCATCTCCCATGGTGCAATATTTAGACCATGGGGTGTCATGTTAATTCCTCTGCAATTAGGGGTCATGCAGTTCTGGGCTCTGAAGCAAGGTCCCCTACTGTCCCACATCTTGGGGCTCCCAGGGAAGCCAAGGTGGGAGACGAGAGGCATGTGTATGGGTGTGAGGCTGGGCTTGGGGAGGGGGTACCTGGGAGAAGTTACAGGTGCTGATGGCTATGGTGGCCGTGGGAACGAGAGACAGGTGAGGCTGAGGGTCGGAAGCTGTCTCTGTGTGCCATCCCGTAGCTCGGCCCGGCCAGCTGCCAAACTGAATCGGAGGGGGCCGACTTGTAAAACAAGGACATCGATGAAAGAGGAAATAATCCATAAAAACACCTGAAAAAGGAACTCAGTTTTTATCCTGAAAAGGAGGATAATAGTAGTACAAACCCGTAAGTAATTAAGAAGTTAGAGGCATTCAAGGAGTTAAGATCTGTAAAGCGTTTAAAACATTAGGTGCTTACAGAAGCTATGATGTAGACATTTGATTAAAAGAATGGAACACCAGCCACGTGAGCTTAGGTGATTTCTGCAACCTCACGTGTTTAATTTTACCTCGAAGCTTTCTGGCTATGAAGGAAAAATAAAACATGGCAGGCTTCATAATTTCTACAGTCTGATTGAAATGAGCCTGCTAATCCTAAAG